CGGAAGACCAACCCTGAGTCTCTCGTCACGGCTCGCAGCTCGTATGTGAAGTACAGGAACAGCTACAATCGTATAGAGGGCAATCGCGAGGAAGATACTCGTAAGCCCGTGGGAAACCCGTCGACAACGGCAGCAACGACGATTGGAGACAACGTCGGGACATTGGACCCGATCACCGCGACCGTCAGCGACGTCATTCCGTATACCGCTACCGTTGTTCGCGCTACCCCCGGTAAACCAACCAGCACGTCGTCCACCAGACATCCCAATTCGTTGAACAACAATCACTGGACCTCCTCGCGCTCTTCTAAGATTGCCAGTTAACGAGTTCAGTTCCGAAGAATCGCGAGAGATCGTTGCCGGTATCAGCAGACTCAATCTTCCTAGTGGTATGTTATACAATATATTTTAACAATAATTTAGAATGTTTTACCAATATAAATACCAAATATTAAGAATATAATAAATACACATTTATTACTACATCGACAATTCATTTTGCATAAAACTTTTATGAAATTGAAATATAATAATCATACAATGTTTCTAATTATTTTATTGGTGAATAGAATTCTCTCTCGGCATAATAAATGTTTTTTGTTAATTTTAATACGAGATAATAATTTTGGTAACAATTATAAGAAGATAATAGATTATGCTCCCCTTGTAAAAAATGTAAATTAATATCAGACTATCCAGATATAAAGAGTTCATTGCATTTTTTCTGGTTTTCTATGGTTTTTCTTTATCTATAATTTTTTTTTTTATTATTTTTCTATTACTGTATTTTTTTAAACTTTGCTTACAAAATAAGATTTTATAAATCTTAAATTTTATAAATTTTTAGATAAGTAACTTTATATCAAGATATAAAGAGTTTACTCTTTTCTTTTATTATAATTTTTGTAATTAATGCTTTATTACTATTTTAATAAAATTTTTTTGCTTATGAAATATTACTTTATTAAGAAATTTTATTTAAAAAATTGCATTTTATCTATTCAATACGATATTTCTTATTTTTACGATATAACATTCACATTTTTGCAATATCAGTTGCAGTATCTTTCTATGCTTATTTAGTAACATATATTCTATTTTCTCGTTTTATTTACAGGAAAGACACGAACGGTCATTTTATCAAATTACACAACGACGAAGGCTCCACAGACGTCGTCCGTGAGACCAACGCCGTCCGCACCATCCATCACTACGTTCCGCAGTAAGACGGGACGAAGGTTCCGAACGACCACGGAGAGTGTCCGCAGTTTTGCCAGAAGATCGGACGATGTTGTCCAGACGGACACGAACAATTCCTTAGCGGAGGACGAGACCATCGCGTCCGACAATCGAGCTCTCGAGCTTCTCAGGTCACTCTACACGATAGCCGCCAAGTGGGGCTGAGGGACCGCACAATCGACGACCGATCGGAACTACGCGTGCGTCAGAAAACTCGCGAGATGAAAATCTCGCTGAAGTATCAGAAGACGATTCATCTGTCGATACGTCTCTCGGAGTAGATCGTTGCTGTCATCGCGTCATTTCGTCTAGCCTAAATTCGAGGAGGGTTCGTAGAGCTCGAACCCGGTGAATCGGTTTTGATCTCGGCCCATGAATCGACATGATAAGTAAAAATCTGATGTACGAATGTTTCCTCGGAAGACACGATGATATCGTACTTCTTATCGAATAGGATCCGCAACGTGTGATTATCATTGACTTTGCTATTTTTGAGAAGAGAATTTCTTATTTAATTACAATGTTTGATATAACTTATTACACTTTCGGAAATTGAGAAATTAGATTTGAGCTAAAGATTCGGTATCTTTGGTCTCGGATCGATAATATGCATCTCGGACAGCAAAGTTCGATTTAACTTAGGGCCGAGATTGACACCCGCGCTCGCGGATATTAAGTAAGTTGTGTGACGACCGGTTTCTCAAAATGTAATCTGTGACAGCTGCTTGATATCCGCGATCGAGCATAACTCGTCGGTTAATATGCGGAGTCCCGATCGATCATCGATCGATAAAATCGTGGTATAATGATTAACCGGCTGTAGTCCGACAAGTTAAGATTATGTATTTGCTCTCGCCGTCCCTTTTATTAAGAATAAAACATCGATCGCCTTGAAACATCGGTAACTGTTACTTGCAAAAAATGCCTGCCATACTCTTCGTCCTTCCTGTTTGACGATTTTTGTGTGAATGTTACCGTGAATATTCAACTTAACTCTCTCATTATCGAATAATTTTAATTGCTTAGCAAAGTATTTTAATACGTTTTACTTATTTTTAGCATGTAATAATACAACAACAAGGTATCCTTGAATTTTTTCCTCATAATAATTTTACAAGCTTGCTTAATAACATTGCATAATCGTTAAATGATCATTTGTCAATAATTGTTTGTTTACGTTTGTCAAAAATACTATCTACGTTTTGAAAAATAGATTTTATTTCATTGCTAAATAATTCGATGAAAATTTATGTAATCCTTTCATTTAAATCTATTTAATTCTGTCATAATTGTCATTTGGAATAAATAGTTTAATTTTATCGTTGATATATAGAACACGAGAGAGACACAGATAAACAGTGGTTATTATATTTGAAACCCGATTATACTCGAAAACAGTGAGTGTGCATACCGGCATAAAGGGATTTGTATGACTAATTCGCTCCGCTCTTCTCATAATATTGCCAAGTACATCGTCAAATTGCTACTCGTCTTTGTTGAATAGCATGCGAAATTGGCGGAATGTGTGATGGCACGTGGTGGATTGCACTGTACGTTTATGGTTATTTGTACCGGTTTGACTGTATATGTGACACAATTTCGCCTCCTCCCTTTCCTCTCCCCCGCGTATCTTTTCAATTCCAGGTCACTTTCCAGGTCCTTTCGAAAAATCCGCGTCAATTCCTGGACAGTGTATTAATTCCCGCCAGTGGGATTAAATTGATATTCGCGGGTTGTGTCGTACGAACTCTCCATCGTCCCATACAAACTTGCCGTCGAACTGTTGTTACGTTCAGTATTACGAAAAGACTCTCCGAAGAGGATCCGCCCAACATCCAGCGGCGGATACGCGAAATTATTTATTCAATATCTTCGCGCTATTGCGATTCCTATGTCCCGGCTAACAGTAAGCTAACTTGTATCTTTCATGAAATTACGGTGTTGGTAACGTTCTCTTTCGTTTGGGCATTTCGAGATCGGCGGTGCTCTTTCCTCCCGATCCCGAAACGTCCAAACGGGGTTTCTAGGTCATTATTTAAGTACCGCGACTTTTAGCGACTTGTAGCCGTATCGACTTTATGTAATATACCTTTGTACAGTATGTGAATAAATATACAGGGTTTTGTTTACCCGTGTTTTACCTGTCAAATGTTCCTTATAATGCTTTTATTGATGCTTTCATTACCAACATCGTTCTTTAAAAAAATGCACATGTTATATTTATTACGTTAAATATATTAAATATGTCGTTTGATTTTAATTATTAAATATCTATTAAATGTTAAGTTCATTATTGATATTTGTGGTACTTTGAAAATGTGAACTTTAATAGACTTTTAATTGAGATTTAATTGATTTACAAAAATGTAGTTAAATATTTTAACACCATATTTTAGTAATTTTTTTACAATATCTTTTACTACCTCAAAAATGTTGATATTTTTGGTGAAGAGATGTGTGTCATAAATTAAAGCTCGCTGCTTGCGGTAAGGGAAACATTATTAATGCCTGAACTAAAATACGAAAATATTTAAATCCTTTAGGAAATCATTTGCGCTTTAAATATATAAATCGCTGCAGAGATGTCAGCACGGAAATGTGTTAATAATTCAAGCAGAATAATGAACGCCATTAATGGTTTTTGCGGGAAGGTCCTCGGAAGAATTGGCCACGGTCGTCGACGATTGCACAAACGTCGAAAGAACAGGAAGGATTTTACTCTTTGTCTTTCTTGTCATACATATTCTTTTACATCCGGTAATTTGTATACATATACGCAGACACGTGTTTATGTGCAGAAGTCTCGCAATTATGCGAGTTCTAGTAAGTAATATAGGAGATATTTGAAATCGAGGTAAATAATACTCTTCGGAATTAAATTTAAAAATAATTTGACATGTATTCTGCAATCGATAGAGATCTAACGACATCGTAAAAAAGTCGCGAAGAGAATTCCGTAACGTGTCATAAAACGCCTGAGAGAGTTCGTATCGTTTTAACCGATCTAGCGAAGAGGCAAGAGAGGTGAGTGTAATATCACGCGAAATCGCAGGTTGGGTCGGAGGTCAATGTAAATGGCTGATTAATATTTCTAAAGATGCAACGTTTACGGAGTCATATCATTGCAAGTAGAATGCAAGTTTTTTTTCTATGAAATGTTACAAAACTATTCTACAGGAATTGTTCTTTTTCGCGACGCTCTACTGACAGTTGCCAGAAGCGACAAATCGCTTCTAGAAATGAATGGTGGAGATCAAGATAACTGAAAAGGAGAAATAGTTATTCGTATTATACTTTTACGATGGATTATCTTACATGACTTTCTTTATTTAAAGTCATATACAAATAATGGATAATTATAGTTTAATAAATATTTTAAAAATAAGATAATATATTAAAAATATCAAGCTATTTCAGAATATTTTTTCAAAAATATTATAGAGGGATTCCCGGTTATTTTCTATGTGAAAATACTTATTTGAAAATTTCAGATATTTTTAGATAAAAAATAATTTAAGAAAAAATGGTTTACGTGATAGATATGCGAACATCATAAACGATATGAAAAGAACAAGTCTAACTTGGCCAACTTTTTAGGCATGGAATCTTTTGAATTCAGGTATATATCCTGTGGCGCAACTTTTGCCTTCGCTGCAATGCGAAAGGACATCCGCCTTCAGCAAGACCGAGACCGATTCGCCGCCTCGACGCAAGATATTCAAATTAATGTCCGGAGATCGGTATCCGAATGAAGAATTACAAGAGGCAGGAAGAAGATTCTTGCTTCTTCCCTTGAACATCTTCTTTTTCCGCAAACGTAAACAAATCCAACGTAATTATAGTTGAGCGAACATCGTATTCATTCATAAAAATGTAATATTTATGATGTAATATTTAAGACATCTCAGAAAAATCAGCCACATTCTGTCGCGATTTTCTATATATAATGCTTTTCTTGGCTTTTATAAAAATCTATTTTTTAGATTCCAGACATTATCGTATTAACGAGAGACTTATTTACATAATTATAGCCTGTCAAAATTATTGTTAAAAAATCTGTTAAGGATCGATAAGTATTATTCTCCAACAGCTACAAATGTGCATAAAATAATGCTTTAACCTACAGCGAGTACATTCAAATACTATGCATGATTCAAATATGAAGTAATGATAGTCACTATCGGAATAGCAATTTTGCGTAATGGACGGTAACATCGTGTGAACACGCGCGAATGTTAGTGGTGGCAAACCACAAACACATATTGATTCTATGCAACCTATGAAAAAAAACTCCATATAAAATGAGCAGAACCAGATCGATATATAATCTGTCCCGAGAGCGACTGATTTGGAAATTCACTTGCGGGATAAAGAAGGTCAGAATTATTTATTTCTTTTGGAATGATTCTCTCGCGCGTCTAACATTATACACTGATCTAATCCTTTTCTGGACAGTTAAAAATTGCGTAAGGATTCGATTGTGTAACAGTAATAAATATGCATGCTTCTGTAATACTTAACCGTTGTTAATGCGAGACCTTTCTCTAACGGTAATTGTTTTAATTGTAAGAAATACAATTTCATTATTAGATTTTTTTTTTTGAAAATTTGTAAAATGAAAAATTTCTTCTCAAAAGATTTTTATTTTTATTTAACATCATCGCATGCGTTTTCAGATACTCTAATGCAATAATCGGGAAGCTCTTCTCTCTTATTATTCTTTTACAATAAATACACACATTGAAATCTTTTGATTTTTATCATGCGCGGGAAAAGAATAAACAATTAAATATTGTTGTTTTAAACATTAAACATGTAAAAAAAGATTTAAATAAATCTGTGTTTTCGGCAGATTTTCCCAACATTCGGGCGACTTTCAGACGATTTTCATAGCCCATGCGGGACATTCGAGATCGAGGCCGGTCCAATTCCAAACGTGGATCTCCCGTCTGTACAATTATCTTTGCGCTCTACTGGTGAGGCGGTAAAAGGTCGTCGTTGATGCAATCGACCACGATATACTCTGCAGAATACGCGGTTAGATTATGGCGTATTGGCCAATTGCCAGAGCTCAATTAACGCTTTTTAGTTTTACGAGTATTTATCAGCCGTTCGTAACATCGAGTGACGTATGGATTATTGTTTGAATATAAATCGTTGATTCTGTATCTCATGCGGAAGCTTGACGCTGCGTATGTTCATCGTTATACTTATATAAACGCACATATTTATACGATAATTGTGCGAAGAGCGTTGACAGTTATAACGTTGTTTACGCTTTTCATAAGTGAAGAGAGTATCGCTCTTAGATATGTTAAGTAATTCTTTTATAAAAAAAAGAAAAGAGGAAGCATAAAAGAGAAAGTAATCTAATAGAAATTTATATAAACATTTTTTAAATTCAATTTTTATATATAGTGGACACAGCATGTACATGTATCGTTTTTAATAAAGTTTGTAAATAATTTTTCACTTAGCGTTCTCGTGTTCTTTGCACTCCACGCGTGCTAAGGAGATTAAAAGGTTAAAGCTACTAACCGGCTATTACAGTTACAGGTATAATAATTTTTAAAACCAAGGATTATGATTTACATTCCTGTTGATTATAGAGATATTACTAAGCAACAGTTTAAGTAGAGTTTCATTGGCGAGATGTATACTGCCTGACAAAAATTCATTCCGTTTTCCTAGCGAGGTGAACGTAAGAGTGGGGATATCTATTCTATATAAAATATTTAACATATAAAGTATTTCGACAGTGGGAGAGGATTGACGGCGTACGGCACATAACTGTTATTGTTTTGATACGCTGTCATGTTGTTATCATTTGTACGGCAAAGCTCGAGCAAATATTCCAAACAATGATTACAATTTGTAAATAACCTTTTATAAACATATATTGTGTGTTAGCAACAGAGAGTCGTAGCGAGTATAAAGATAATGTAATTTTCCTAGCCGAGTAAAAATCGTAATTTTATATGATCGTAATGCTTTCAGTATAAGTATCATCTACGTTCATCTCGCTAAGGGAACGGAACGCGAATCATTATCGGGCAATGTATCCACCATTAAATTTGTCAAAAAATTGCTATAGTAAATTGCGTTAATTGTTTTCTCTCTATAAAATTGTATTAAAATTTGTATCGAGATATTTATTCTCTTCTTAGAAAAATATGCAATCATTAAAAGTTTACGTGTATATATATATATCACTTCGTAAATTATTATTACGACATTTGAAATTAATTTCAGGCGTCTATATGATGGAGTTGCATCAAATAAAATCAATCTTCCGCGTGCATTTATATAACCGGAGCAAGAACACATATCCAAATATTAATGACAATAATACGAAGATTCAATTATGCGCCCAAAAGATATATTTTGCGATACCGAACGCTTTCACCGCGCTGATGCATACCGATCCGGATCGCTGCCTCTTTTTAGCAGCCTCTTGATGACAGTGTGTTACCGAATCTCGAGGGATTCAGAGAAAAGGAAAAGAAATAATAGTAGAGGTCACGCGCGCGGATGAAGTAACAGTGCAAGATGAACAATTAACTCGCAATCCCAGAATCGTTCTTTCTCGATCACTTTCGTCGAATGCAAATGCCAAATGATTCTTGTCTACTTTACATATCGAGAGGTAAAATGAAACTATTTCGTATGTTAGAGCATTCTCGGTTCCTTGATTATATCTCGCGAACGAGTTATTTCTCATATAAAGGTGTACGCCATCGTATTTAGCGCCGAATACGTCTGTATCATTCTTGGCATAGATACGATCATCCAGGGCTGGGCATTCACGTCTTTTAACACATGGGAAACAATTCGAATGCTCGGTTTTGCTCAATACAAATCAACGGAGAAAGCTATTATAATAACATCGTAATAATAAAGGAAAAATTTGCAACTGTGAAAATATATACGATATAAAAATAATTAGAATACATGGTCTTTGAGATTGTTGTGGAGGGAGGGAAGGATTTTTTATTCTTTAAAATGTATAATATTAAAAGAGTATTATTAATTAATTTATAACTTTTATAAAAATAAAAAATATATGCGAACGATTGAATTTTTAAGTTATCGTTAAGCCTTAAAAATCCTATTTCGGTTTCAGTTCTTTATAATTAAACAATTTTTTTTATCTCGATAATCAAATAAAAAGTCTCGTTATATGCTCTTTGAAAAATAAATCAAAACCGGTTTCATTTCAATAATGAAATT